TAGTTTAGTGGGGCCCTAGCACAAAAAGGCGAAAATCCCATCTAGCGAATGGTCTTTTGTCGAATACTGGATATCAATAAGCGCAATGGAGAACTGGAAAATGGCGACGTTGGAAAAAGTCAACCTGCCAAGTTGACGAACGGCTAAATGGCGAGCTGCAAAATGGCGGCCTAGCAAGACATTGACACGTCATATTGGCGAACGGCAGAATGGCGAAATACAAAAGGGTCACATTTGAATTTGGTACTGGCGAATGGTGACTTGAAAAATGAGAACATGTAAAAATGCTGGATGACTGGCTGGATGTTGTGTGCTGCATATCTATTGTATACCATTAAAAAAAAACTTTTGTTAGGGAGCACCACTCTGCTGGCGATACGAGAACATAAAAAAGTAAAGAAATAAATAATTGATAAGACAAGTAGGCTCTACAATCAGACAGGTGCTAATGAATGACAGGCATCAGCTTTACACGTCAACTAATGGCTCTTACGGCAGAAGGAAAATAACGGGACCGCTTTTCGGCAGAGTCGTGCTGAACAAAACCGTCATACAAGATCAAACAGGGACAGAGGTATGGTTTTGTAACATGTGCTGTAGGAGGCGGTGACAAATTATGAAACATACCAACACAATCTGACAGCAGCCAGGGTTTTCCCCAGATTTGGCTTCCGTTTCTCCCAAAGTTGGGAGGGGGGGGGGGGGGGCTTGTGGCCATGTGGGAGAGGGGAGGCCGAATCCCCCACAACTTAATATAGAACTAAACGTCTCTACATATATGTTTAATTCCATGTCATCATCGACAGGTTGCAGCCTTCACGCTTACCACATTAGCCAGGTGGCAGATTTTTCAAAACGCTTGGCTTTTTTCCATGACACCATTTCGGTTTCACCATTTTAGCATGTGGCCATTTTCCCATGCCGTCGTTCATTCAAACAAGATACTTAAAGGGACTGTTCCACATTTGAATGGGGTTTTCAACTGAAACAGCGTTTCCAAGATAATAATTTTCACACTTATGCCCGTATTAAAACTTGTAATCCTCTCCTTTTTGAGCTAGGAGTACGCGAAGTCGTGCAGACTGTTTCGCGCCGCCCATTTCCAGATCATTTAGGTATGACGCGATAAAAACTCCATGCAGATTCCACGTCCTCAGTAACCATATAGTGTTCAAGGTCAATAAGAATGTGACCAGTGACTTTCTTGTGTCTGAAGCACGTCAGCGTGGATCGTTGCCAAAACGAACAGCGATTTTCGCCAACGCACAGCATTTAATGAACGTTTTGAGCACGGATTTGTGGCATGTCGTCATTCTTTCGTGCTGCCGTTTTGCAATTCACCTTTTAGCCGATTTGACTTCGGCACGTGAACTTTTTGACATGTCACCAATATGAAAGTTGTCATATGACAGCCGACAATAAGCACTCGGCAAACTGCAAGTTCACTATTTTTCCGAACACCGTAAATACCGAGGCCGTGAAAACATTTTTTTGGGAGATTTAAGATGCGTGTATGCGAGCTTACGTCGTCAAGATGTGAACAAAACATCAGTCGCTCTGTCCTCTGTTCCCCGCAGAAGGAAGGGAACGGGAACAGTTGGTCAGTAAACAGAATCATAGGCAATTAACGCAGCTGTCATAAATGATTGAACAGGAATTATCCATTTCATGAAGCCTCGAAGAACCTCGTATTCTTGTTGTTTCCACTTGAGCTTAACGTTTTTCATTTCGTCATTTGGCTTTTTGCCGCTCTAGCATGTCGTCATTATATCTTGTCACCATGTGTTCAAACATGGCACGCAAGCACTTCAACGACATTTCAATGCTCGTCGATTTTGAAAATCAACCTTTTTACGTGTCACCAATTTACAATTCGCCATTTAACCATTCGTCATTTCGGCATGTCGACTTGCTGGTATATCGCCATTTTGCAGTTCGTCATTTCGCAGTTCGCCACTTCAGCATGCCGCCACATTCCTCCATGTCGCCATTTTGCAGCTCGCCATTTTGCCGATTCAACTTTTCGGCATATCGACCTTTTACATGTCGCCAATATGAAAGTCGGCATATACAGTCGACAACAAGATATTCGGCAAACTGCGAGTCGACTTGTCCGGACACCGTTTGGTGGTTAAGCCGCGCATCGGACAAACGAGACGTACGGAGTTTGATGCCCCGCGGTGCCCGCCCCTCCTGCCAGGGTAGGGGGCAGTCGACGCCATATGGCCTCAACAGCTGAGTGCGTCGTAAAACCCTGATGGCACACGGGTTTCATCGCTGAAGGTTCAGCAATAAAACTCATAGACCTATCATTAACCCTCGCTCTTTGAGGAAAGCCTCAGAGGCCCTTCAAGGTGTTTCTGGAATAACTTCTGAAGTTGACTTGAGCAGGTGCAGAATTTTTTGATACCTAGGGACAACATCATTTTACCACCTTTTTGCACCCGATCGAATATTTTCCAACATGTTTCAAATGTGCTGCTATACAATGTCGTACAGCGATGGCAGAAAATCCACGAAGCAAACTGCCTTCCACGCGGGGGCATTATTATGGGTGATCTTCAAGACGAAACGCTCTGGGTGCACCGACCTTGTTTGATGTTCCCGTTATTGGTGGCCCCCGTCAGTCGACCGGAGACCTCTTCGAGCCAACTGCCTGCCGCGGGGCATTATTATGGTGATCTTCAGACGAAACGCTCTGGGTGCACCGACTTGCTTGATTGTTCCGTTATTGGTGGCCCCGTCAGTCGAACTGGAGACCTCTCGAGCAAACTGGCCCTGCACGCGGGGGCATTATTATGATGATCTGCAGACGAAACGCTCTTGGGTGCACCGACTTGCATGATTGTTCCGCTATTGGTGGCTCCCGTCCGTCGACAGACAAGACAAGTTCGTGGCGTCTGCCCAGGTGCTTTACACGCTAAGGCGAGGACGAGTTTGAGCAAGTCTGGCGCACATTTTCTGCTTCGCGGCTCAACTGCGGTGACGTCACCACGAATCCCTCCATTCCGCAATGCTACAGCTTTGTCTTAGGTCTGGTCAATCCTAGCAATTCCAGTCGGCAAAATCGACGATTATGTGACGCTTTCGTTCTTTTGCTGAATGCAAACCAGCTATTACAAACGCGTCAGGATTTTGGGTGGATGTTGGCTGCAGTGTGAGACAAAATTTCTGACGTTCTCCCTCTCGGGTTTGGGCATATTGCATACGTGTCGCATTCGAAAACAGTTTTCGAAAGGGCGAGATAATTACTTAACGATTGACTGCAAGGGCATGGATGGATTGAACAATATTCGGATCGATACGCAATTCACAGACGGCACATTCATCTGCACGTCGCGGCAGTTTTAAACGCCTGCGTCTCCTCCTGGCCGCCAACATCAGTCCTACAGCAGGATACGTCCTTCAAAACAGCCAACAAGGGGGGGGGGGATCCATGTGTTACCCTAGAGTGCATGCAACAACTACGTACATCGACGTAGACTTTGGCTAATACGGTGGCCTTTTCTCTCCTCTGACAGAGATGTTGAGATTTGAACCCAGCCCGACTTGCACATAGTACCCAGAGTTGTTCGCGTTTAACGAAGTATATGTTCCCTATGTGTCAAGAATATAGACGACTACACTTTAACACGCGTCCGGGTGGCCAGTGGATACCCTTCGCTCGGGTCGAGGTCAATTTGACCCTCCTGAGATCTCAGGAACTAATAGAGCTAGACGCCAAATTCGTATGGTGCGTTAGCCTGTACGTGAACTCACTTAGGTCAAAGTTTGAGGTTTATAGATCATGACCTTCGGGTCAAATAAGACTAAACAAGGTCAGACTCCAAGAGGTCTCCAAAGTGCCCCCAGAACCTGGATTCCTGTTGTAGGCAAAAGGTCACATGCTCGTTTAAAGTCAGTGGCCTTGTTGAACCTTTTGAAGGCCATGGTGACCAAAATCATGCGAGACTGCTTGGAGTTTTGCATTGCATAAGCGATAAAGATTACTCTAAGCAGTATGTTCCTAAAATCAAAACGATGACCTGGGTTATTTTAGATCAGTGACTTACTCTGATCTTTAAAAAGTCCGCGGTAGATGTATGATACGGTTAATGTAATCAAAACATTCGAATGAACACCAGAAACTATCCCATATGGCAAGCTTTGCGAAATGAAGCAGGTTGGTTTTTACCTTGGTCCAACCTTTATAACTGACCCTAGGTCGGTGAAATTTGTTCATTCAACTGTTGTGTTCTCTAAGAAAGTATCTCAGAGATGTATGGCTTCGTCTCACGCTCCGTTGTTGCATCAGATTGAAATATTTCCTAGAAATTGACTGCGCTGAATCCATGGTCTGAATTTGACCTGGTGTAGATCAGCGACCTGACAAGAAACATCTAAATTTTAATGCTAACCGATTCGGTATTTTTTGTCTACAGCTATCCAAATTTGGCGTGGCTACGCCGCACTGTTCGGAAACCTTCCGGAAAAAAAACCTTCAGGGGGTCAAATTGACTCCCACTCGAGCGAGTGTACAGTCGTCAATGCTAATCTGTCATGATGTCATGACACTGATAGGAGAGTTCGCTTCTGATCGAACCACTCGGATACTAATGCTTAACAACATATACCGCAAACATTTTGAGAGGTGCGTTTCTTGTTGCCGAGAACCGCATGAAATGGCAGCGTGTGGCTGCAATTATTTAAGATTCTGGAAAGATTGACGATCGGGACAGGCCTCACCATGTAAACCTTTTCTTCTGTTCAGATCGTGCCGCACTTGGTCTGCAGCCTCACTCAAAGCCACGCTCATGACAGGCAAAAAGAATACACGCATAAACAAGCAAGATGTTTTTGACTATTTCCCAGGTGACGAAATGCTTTAACTTGAAGAAATACAGCCTGTGGGGTACCCTGGTTTGAGTGACTCTTATCTAAAGCACCAGACCGACTGTTTTGCGAACCTATCCCCCGCCCCGCGGACAAAGCAGATCCCGGTTCGGCCACGGTGTACTCACCTGGCGCCGGTCATTTGCTTCATGGTGCGCGTCGACTTCCAGAGCTCGGAGATGACTCGCGAGTAGAAGAAGATCATGAGCAGCGCCGGCACGGCGAACAGGACCAGAAACTGGTACACGGCGAACCCGAGCCCCATGGACTCCTTGTCGCGGCAGTAGTGGATGGTCAGCTGCGTCACGTTGTTGCCGAATCTCTCCGGCTGAATGTCCTGCCGAAGAGGTGGGGCGGTGGAACGTGGGGCCGAGCGGGACAGCCAGCGCTCCGCGGGGTAGGGGTGGTGAGGCGTGAGATTGCGCGGGACGTACCGCAGCTCTGCACGGTGATAATGGGGGCGTGCGGAGTTGTACCGAATATGGCGCAGAGTATTCTGGGAATGATGAAGCATGGGGCTACAGCATTACACAGAATAGCTGAGGAAAACCTTAAAACGGGCAATTTGGAAGAAACGTGCCACTGCAATGAAATAAATGGTGCGCCCATAACAAGCACAGGCTAACGAGCCGGGTATCAATGGTGAGGCGTCGTACGATGATCAGGATGCCATAAGAGATGCTGATCGTTGGTAACTCAAATACAAGATAATAATGAAAATCTGATATTGACTGATCAGTGGTAGGCGAGCTTAAGCCATCTCGCGTCATGCTAAGTACATAAAATATCGAAGCTGAAAGGAAGCGCAAGTCTTTTACACCGTTTTCAATCGACTTCAAGAGTTACTTGACGATAAACAAAACCAGTAATTCAATGTCGTCCGAAAAAGCCGGCCATTTGGTCTTACCTTGGTGATGAGTACGGGAGCCGTGAGCACCAGCGACACGCTCCACACCACCACCACCGCCTTCTTGCAGTTGCTCATGGTGCAGAGCGAGCGGGACCTCATCGGGTACACGATCACTATGTACCTGCCACGCCGCAGACAGACGTGTGTTGGAACATTGGGATAACGATCAATACGTGTATTCAGCGCGCACATTGAAATATCGGCTTTGGGATCACAACGTGACTGTTTATTGGCAAACGCTGTTTGATGGCATTTGGGGTTATGGTCCCGATGTACGTGCACCATTTGAGACTGGTAGTGCTAAATTATCGGCTAAACGATCGCGATGTCCCTGACACGTTAGAATCAGCAGCTCGTTTAAACTTGAGTTCGCTATGTCTTCACCATTACAGGCACGTGGTTGTCAGTACATCTGGTGCGCATATATTTTGTACATGTGGCATGCGAGACAATCTGGCGACGGAGATCAGGTGCGAGATCGTTATATATGTGAACCTGCAAACATTTGGTGACAAAATGTATTGGGCTCACATTCACTATGGGCATTCTTTTGTGACAATATCGCGAAGCCGGTGTTGAAGCACCGGGTGTACAATCAATATGGTGTTGAACGTCAGGATCTGGTAGGTAATCGTGTCTGTCAGGGTCTGCCCCATCCTGTGAGTCCACGCCATGTTGAGCCATTCCGAGACGTGCCGCGCTGTGCCGGGCCAACCACTCCAGTCCGGTTCAGTCCACTTCCACCCAGTTCAGTCCAGTTCACTCAAGTCCAGTCCAGTCCACTTAAGTCTGGTCCAGTCCACTTAAGTCCAGTCCAGTCAACTCAAGTCCAATTCAGTCCATTGAAGCCCAGTTTACTTTGATATGAATCAATTAAGTCCCGTCCCGTCCCGTCCCTTCCGGGTAAATATTGCAGTTGATTTTGGAGAGCATAGCTTAAAGTCTTCTTGTCGCACACTTGACACTGAGGAGTCAACTGATAGTACTTTATTTGGTGTGGCCCATGCTGGTATGATGTAGGATTTAGCAGCTACGGGCGGTAGGTAACAGTTGTTAAATGGGCAGTTCTCGGTAATTATGTGACATTTTGAAAAGCTATGACACGTTTTGAACCAAGCGTCGTTTATTCAGTTCTAGAATCAAATTACATGGTTTGGAATTTCAAACAGCATGTACGTCATCCGTACGTACTTGCTTTACGTAAGTAAGCAAGTACATAAGCTTTGGTCGTAAGCGTACGTAAGCTTTGGTCGAAGTGTGTGGGGATATTTTGCTGATTATTCTGCTCTTATTGTGCTTCATAAGCGGATAAGATTTTCTGCATAAGAATCCCGGCCATAGCTGAAAGGGCCTGAATTTGCCAAATTACAGACCTTTGCAACCTCTTACTCGACGCTGATTGGTCAAATTTACTGGCATGGAACTGTGGGGTCGGTTTCCGAATAACTGCCTCGGGCCAAACTTTGGGAAACGGCAGTTATTATTTTCAAGCTTTAGCTTTGGGCGGGAACCGCCGATAGTTCTAGCATTGATTGTGCAGTGCAGTAGTGTTTAGAACTGCAGTGTGTTCTTATTTTTTGTATCAG